AATTGTAATCTTGGATCGTAACTATTGAAAGTATCAAGCATTTCTTGAATATTGTATTTAGTTATGGCTGTGATAATATCATCCACGTATCTGTAGAAAAATAATGGTTTAAATGATAATTTATTAATGCAAAAAGTCTCAAGGTCATCCATAACGATGTCTGCAAATAGTCCAGAAATCGAAGAACCCATAGGGGTACCATAAATTTGTTTATAGTATTTGTCATTGAATTTAAAAAAATGTTATTAAAAAGAAAAGAGCAGGCATCGAGTAGATCATCAAGAGGTATATTCAAATTTTGTGAAATGATAGAGTAACGTTTAACCTTTAAACTGATACGTGCCGAAAAATCACACTAACTAATTTCACCGGTCTGTCAGACCGCTATTCCTTTTTTATGTTATTTTATTGATTTTAAATTTTGTAAAGTCAATTGTTGTATATATTTTTTATTTTTTATGATTAAAAAGTCAATTTCTATATTGTTTCGTTTTAATTTTTTTATTTTTACATAATTTAGAACGCTTTAAAAAAACGCTTTAAAAAAAAGTTATAAGCGATGAAAGTTTTAATAGCGGTCTGTCAGACCGCTAAATCAGTTTAAAAGTTAATGATACTATCAGATACATGTTTTGAACCAACGTTAGTGAATAAAGATTTAACATCTAAACTGATTAAAATGTGATCATCAGGTACCCAGTAAAAAAAAAATAATTGAGAGTAAGGAAAAATAATTGGGAGTTAGCTTACTTTGTATTCGGTTTGGCGTCTAAACCGTGTAGGGACTTTACGGCCAATTATTTTTTCTTACCCTGAATTCTTTTCATCTGGATTGTTTGAATTGATGTTTGTTGATCAAAATTTGCAATACAAACCCTCACAACACAAAGATATTCAGGATATCCCTGGGACGTCCTGGGGATATCCATTTGCTTTTGGCGATTCGGATATCCCTAAGATATCCTCTGGATATCCATGGACATCTCTAAGATATCCCAGGGATATCCAAACCGCCGAAAACAAATCGATATCCCCAGGACGTCCCAAGGATATCCTGAATATCCTTTTGTTGTGAGGGAATGAATAGAATGCATGTTCCAAAGTGTCAAAATGCCGATTTAGAATAAGAAATGTGAAATTTTATAAAAACGACAAAATGTGAAATATGACAGATTTATCGACAATTTTACCATGTGAGTAGTGTTCATATGATAAATTTACCATACGAGCACTACTCACATGATAAAATTGTCGATAAATCAGTCATATTTCACATTTTGTCGTTTTCATAAAATTTCACATTTCTTATTCCAAATCGGCATTTTGATACTTCGGAACATGCATTCTATTCATTTGTAATGCAAACGTTGATCAACAAACATCAATTCAAACAATCCAGGTGAAAAGAATTCAGGGTAAGAAAAAATAATTGTCCATAACGTCCCTACACGGTTTAGACGCCAAACCGAATACAAAGTTAGCTAACTCCCAATTATTTTTCCTTACTCTCAATTATTTTTTTTACTGGGTATATTAAGATTTTTAACCTTCTCGATAAAATCAAAACTGTTACGAATGTAAGACTTTGGTTTTGGTATAGATTCATTTAAAATATTAGTTAAATATTTGGAAAGAAAATATGTTGGTGAACCAATGGTTGAGACAACAGGTCTGAACGGGTAATCCTTTTTATGTATTTTCGGTAAACCATAAAATTTTGAAAGATTCGTTTTAGGCTGCGTTAGAAAATAATTATTGTATGTTTTGTTCAAATAACCGTTCATATTCCAATATTTTAATAATTTATAAGTGTCGGTTTTTAAATTTGGAAGTGGATCCTTATTAATAATTTTGTATGTTTCCAATTCAGAAAGTAAAGATTCGGTTTTTGTAATATATTCACTCCTATCCAATGCAACCGTGACGTTTCCCTTGTCAGCTATAGTGAATAAAACATTCTTATGGTTTTTAACAAAAAGTTTTGAGTCATTAAGTTTTTTTAAAAAAGTTCGGTCTTTGATACTAATATGTCTAGGAGATTTGTTTTCAAAGGAAGTTATGTTTTTTATGTACTTATGTACTTATGTACTTATAAATTGTTCGATGGATTTTATATATTCTATTGTTAAGTTTAAACAGTTGTTGTTGTTATTGAATTTGAAACTGTTGCCAAGAGAAATGACGTCGATGACATTGTCTGTAATATCGCAATTTGACAAATTTAGAAACCAACCATGTTGTGAACTGTTTGACATATTTAAATTACAATTTCTATTTTGTAGAAACGCAAATTTTTTGGAAACTTTTTCTTTTTGAACAGAAACAAAATGAGAATGTTTATTCTCATGTATTGTATATATTGATTTTGAGATATGTGTCGGAAAATTATTGTTAATAACGGATTTTAAATTATCAATTTTTTTGTTCAAATGGTGAATGTGAATACATTTATCCTCTATCATGATATTAAGAAGTTTGTTTTTAACTTTTTTTATTAACAAGTCAAATTTTACGTTACCAGTATTACTATGGAAGAAGAAGTGACATAAACTATTATTAATTGTGTCTATGTGTTTTGGTGTCAGATCGTAAATGCGGCATTGTAGTAAAAACTGGAGTTGCGATGAAAAGCGAGCAACCTCCTGATTGGTGTTGATCCAGTCTTTCAAAATTTTCTTTTGATTGTTGGATGATTCCAACTCAAATATATTCCGTGAAATCACTTGTGACCGTTGTAGATCCATGGTCAATAAATAATAAAATTTTGATCGATATCATCTTCTTATATTATTAAATACTACCAAGTGAGAGAATCAAAATTTTATTATTTTTAATATATTTTCATATTACTTTATATTAACAGTAACCTTACAGCAACCTTACAGTAACCTTACGGTAAGCTTACAACAACCTTACCATGTAAGCTTACCACAACCTTACCATGTAAACTTACCACGACCTTACTGTGTAAGCTTACCTTAGCTTTACTGTGTAAGCTTACTGTAAGGCGGAAGTTTTAAGATGACCTCAAGTTTACTGCAGGCTTACACAGTAACCTTACAAACCCTACAGATATCCTTACAGTAACCTCACAGCAAGAAGTCGTGCTATGTGGGATTTTTCTCAAAAACTTGACGTGGTGGAGTATTTTGGATACCGGATTCGTGTTCAGCACAAAATTTTCTTTCGGAAACACCTAGTCGCATTCATTATGCCGAATTGATACAGGCCTGTGTTTTTAAATACATAAAAATTCGTCAATTGCAATTTTTGCAGAAAATCCTAGGTTCTCTTGTTTTTAAGATATAGGTAGCTAATAACGTAATTTTTATTAAAGAAAAACACAGAATTTACAAAATATATGCATTTATTTAAATTATTAGAGGAAGTGCCAGGCGCGGTGCCTGGTAAAGGCACCGCAGACGTGCATAAGGACGTGCTGACACTGCTGACAACAGAGCATCTGCTGTGCTGAAATTTTTTCCGTGTACTTGCTGTTATAGTTTTCTATGTATTAACAAAAATATAAAGTACAATAAGAATGAAAATATAATGTCACAGCAATGTTCACTTTGTTGAAATGTGTTTGTTAACTTTACAACTAACCTGTTGTGTTCGATATCGCAGAATTGATTAGACATTTTGAAGCTGGCGTAATAAAGCTATAAAAATTTAATGGAGAAATAGAAAAAAAGTAAATTGTGAACTAAATGGTAACGTTTCAGTATCTTTACTTACCTCTTACCTTCTAATTAATTATTTATTGTAATATTATTAAATCAATAAAAAAGACATAATAAGTGACCAATCTGTGTAACCATTCATTAAATTCGGTAAGGTTAATAAACACATTTCAACAAAGTGAACATTGCTGAGCAATTCCATGGGATGTGATCACAAGAATTTTTGATGATTGGAGCAATTTTATTGAAACCTTGTGAATATGTTCCTTTATTTGTACAGAATGAGATATCTCTAATTAAAAATTTATGTCATTTTTTTAAAAAAAACCATGTAACTTTTTTTCCTGTTATCCAAATGAGATCAATTTTTTTTCAAATTTCTCACAAAAAGATGCTTTTTTAAGAAAAAAATAGTTCATGAAAAAAAAATTTTTTTGCCCGGAAAAAAGTCAAAAAAAAATTTTGAATTCATTTTTTCATCACATCTCATGGAATTGCTCTGCTGTGACATTATATTTTCAATCTTATTATACTTTAAAGAAAATTATTTTCTATACCTTATATTTAAAAAATTATTTCACAATGGTAATATAAAAGTTTCAGAATATATTCTGAAACTTAAATTAACTTAATAAAGTAAATTTTATCTATAAGTATTTTAATAAATGCATATATTTCGTAAATTGTGTTTTTCTTTATTAAAAATTACGTTTTTTAGCAGTATCTAGAAAAAGGAGCAGCTAGGATTTTCTGCAAAATTGCATTTGGATAATTTTTATGTATTTAAAAAGATTCCATGATTATCTATAAAGGAACCATTTTAATGAGACTTGAAATTGTTAAGGAGAGGTGTGAGCCAGTGTAATTGATTTTAAAAAATTAATTACTTAAAAATTTTGAATGATTGAGGTAAGTCATGAAAAAAGTGAAATTAATCAAAAATTATTTATGATGCTGAAGTCCGCAACGTTTTCAAAAACGAAAAATTAAAATAGAATTATTTTTTCATGTCAATTTATCTCTAATTTTTATTTGGACAAACTTTCAAGAAATTAATACTTTTATAAAAACCAGTTACCCCCGAAAAACTTTAATTTTAACCCAAAGTAATAGATATTGTCTAATTATTTTTTCGTTTTCATTTATAAAAACGTTGCGGACTTCAGCATCATAATTATTTTTTTATAACAAGTATAAATACAAGAATATTTAAATATTTCAAAAATATGCTCTGCTCACTTTTATAACGGCTTCTGATTATTTTATATGTAAGAAAAAAGATTTTAAAGACAGGTTGAAATGTAAAAATTGAAGGGGTAACGTGTCAATATTGTTTATTCATTTTAAACACCATAGAAAGCATGTCAAAGGCTTCTTATATTCTCGAGTCGGGAGATCGTAAAAATTTATTTTACTATTCAACATGATAGCAACTTAGAATTGTTTAAATTTTACAAACTCTTATCTACTTTAGTAGGATTTTTCGAGTATTTATGGATGTAATTCCCGATAAATATGGACTTCTGTTTTGTTGATAACGGTAGTTTGAAACAATTTTAAGAAAGTTCATTAAGGTAAATTAAAACTTACTTAAATTCTAGATTATTTAGATATACATATTTATAGCATTGTTCTGTTCGATTTATAAAAGGCTCCAATAGATTGTATCTCCAGCACACATTAAAAAGAGAATGAAACTTCTTATCTAACACAATGATAACAATTCCAAAAAAAGTTATTTGTCAAACTTTTCTTTAAGGAAAAATGCCACTAATTATTAAAACTGAATCAAATCATTAAAATCAACATTTAGGAACGTCGCTCGTTCGCTTCTGCTTGTAAAATAAAATTGATCCTTTCAGAATTTTAAGGAATATGAAGGCAGGTTACGCAGTATAGGCATTTTATTATTTTGTTACTATTTTAAAAAAGAAAGTTGAGTTCTATTTATTGATTGAGAATTTATCTTCAGATAAGATACCGAATATGATGAGGCGCTATATACAAATTTATTTAATTTACAATTTTAAGTAGTTCGGCCCATTTTTTTTAATTGTATGTGTTATAAAAACATTCAAGGTTAACAAGAAGAGCCTATTAGATGCATATAATAGTAAAACTAATAATAAATTTTTATTAATTTTTATTTAAAAATACTATCCTGTGACACAATTAAATCATGAAATTTTTGCTCAAAAAAGAAAATTATGTAAAACAACTTTATTTATTAATTGGCATTAATAAAACAAAATTACTTCCATTTTATTCCGTTTTTAAGTACTAAACAAATTGTGAAATATATTTACTTCGGTTTTTCCTTAAAGATGTAAATATCAGAAACATGTATTGAAGTTATTTCTTAATTTGAGAATTAATTACATAAATTAATGGGCCTTGCTATTTAACAATTCCTATATGTATAATCTTTTACACAAGCGCTCTGACAGATTTCTCTCATAGTACGCAGCCACATTTTTCGTTACAATTCATTAGAATAAGAGCGATAATTATGTTGGATTTTTTCTTCCAAAGTTTCCTTATAAAATATAGCGTAAAGTTCGCGATCTCCCGAGGAAATGGAAAATTACGCCTTTAATGACACTTTCGGCTAAGCACGGTCACTGTGCACTACAATGCTAATAATGGTGTCGGTCTTAACAATAGCCTTAACAATACAAGTAGTAACGGTAATATTAACAATCGTAATCGTAGTCATAATACTCAAAAATCATTGTAACGATATCTATATAATTAATAATAATAATAATAATAATAATTAATAGTAATAATGGTAATAAAAGATGGTACATTATTTTAACAGCGACATGTACAATTTGAAAATTGCTAATGTGTAGTACGTATTACGTAAGCAGGAAACACGAACGGGCGACGTATTTGAGAAGTAAGCGTAAAAATGACTAATAATTAGTGCTCATCTCTTCATTATCACTTTTTACTTTCTAGGAATAATTCCTAGAAAATGAAAGCTTCGATCGACTTAAATTTAATATTCGCCGATCTTAAATAAGAATTATTCACCTTCTCTCAACTAATGAATAAGATTGCATGTAGCCCCTTCAAGTTTTTATGACTTACATTCTCCGCTATTTCTTAACTCAGTACTTTCTGACGTCGCTGCCATTTCTTGTAGTAATTACTTTCTTTGTCTGACGTCAGAATCCTTATTAGGTGTTGGTTTACTGTAAAATTAAAAAAATCATATTTAATGATTTTACTACATAGTAAAATGAAATCGAAATTATGTTTATCCACTACCATTTAATTTTTAAAGCGAGACTTATTTCCGAAATAACATTCGGCTTAGTTTTCCGTGCACTGTACATGAAAACTAAGCTTAATGTTATTTCGGGGATAGGTCCCTTAATTCTCTCGTGAAGCGTCACATATAGTTATTTTTATAAAACAAACTATTTTCTCTTAATCTTTATCAATAAAATTCGTTCAGGCTGTGTTGGCATGGTGCATTAGTCGGCAGAAGTCCCGCGTTAGGCAGCAACTAAGGAGGTTCGAGTCCTCACAGATGCACAGTGTACTCGAGCACGCAGCTTATTTTTTCAGATCAAAATTAATTCAAAATTGATAATTATTTGTCGACAAATCATATCGATATAATTATCACATGAAACACCTAACTCTGAACCAAGGAGTTTTAATGACATCTAATAGATGTCACTTTGCTGATAAAGTCGAATTCTTCAATTTCGTAATTTTCAAAATTCTTAATCAGCGATAAATATAGTATTTCTATATAAAATATATCTAAAATTCACAGTGATTTTTGGCGTTCTATGAAATACATATATATTTTATGTAAAAATAAAAAATTTTCTTTTTATTTATATTTTGATATTACCGATGAACCCTTTTACAGTTTCGTGAAACTTCTCTTATTTTACAAAAATATTCTAAACTCATTTAAAAAAACGTGCCGTTTATTTACTACATTCCTGTAGAATTATTTTATTCGATTCTTTAATACAAATTTTAAACACTAATTTGCGAGTTCGAAATGCCGACCAAATATTTATGTCATTGATTGATTAAAAAAGTTCTCCGATGCAGGAAATAAAAAGGCGCATCTTTTTTTGCATTTTTTATAGAACAAATATTTTACATAATTATGACCAAAATCTTAGCAGAAGACAATTTGCTAACCATCGTAGCCTTGATGCTTTAAAAAAACGAAAAACTGAGCTAAGGAATATCAAATCTTTAGAAAATAATATTTTTGAGGAGGAGGAAGGAATTTATAGATTAGGCATCAACGATTAAGGTAAGGCACTTTAAAGGTTCCGTACACCTTTAATGTACCGTCTGAATCTCTTACGTCCGTCCCATATATTGTCACCCCCTACCTACGCACAACATTTTTTACATAAAGGGCTGAAAATTAGTACACATATATGTATTTTTACCTGTTGAATACTAGAAAAATATAGCGAACTTGATTAGAGGTGATGTTCATAGGGTTGTTAAGAAAAAACCCCATTTTTTTGCCAAAAATGATCATGTCCCCTATTTAACTTCTATAATTTTGGACCTAGGGAGCTAAAAATTGGTAGACATGCGTATTTTCAGTTGCAGATTACAGGAAAAATATAGCGAACCCGATTGGAAATGATATTCATAGCATTGTCAAGGAAAAACACCGATTGACTATATCTTTATTAAAAATTATCGTATCACAGTTTCCGAAAAAGCGTTTTAAAGGTGGTAAAATTACCTTCAAAATGTTCCGTACGCGATTAAAATGTAATGATTCATTAAAAAATGTATTAGTATAAAATTTATAAAAGTGGAAAATTTTGATTATTCTTTATAATTAAGAAATTAATTAACCAGGATATTATTGATTGAATAAAAAAAGTCAATTAGGTATCCAAAAAACGGACAGTGTTTCAAGTAATGTTAGAAATTTTATTTTAATTGAAACGGAAACTCGTGTTTCCTATTTAATTATGCGCAAGTCAGTGAAAAGCGAGCGAAACGAAATGAAAAGCGAGGGAATCGAATGAGAAGATTAGGAGTAGGGTTTTCAGAAAGATTCGCTTAGGCGATGTAACCGGTCGTAATCGTGAACGTAATTCATATGTCGTGAGTTTTAATTGTTTAAAGGCAGTATGCTGCAGATTAATCAATTGTACATATATTTTATATAATTTTAAAAATTCACACTATTTGAAATATATTTTGTTTATCGTCATTCGTTTATTATTTATTTTAAACTCATCACTATCTGCCGTGAACAATATATAATTATTGGTGTAAAAATAATTTATAACAAATTCAGAAATGGGATACTCTCGAGAAAAACTGACGCAGTGTAACAAAAAAAAAGAGTTATAAATTCTTTTTTTTGGATAGTGGCTTTAATTGGAAAATTAATCATTCACATGCGGTCGGTAATCTTTAAGAACAAAGTGGATATTGTCGGATTACAGTGCAGTGAATATTTGATGTGCAAACTGATCTCGAGAGTGATGTGAAGTTTAATGGCAAGTGATGAGTTTGAAAAATTTCACGAAAAATTCCAAAAAGAATAATCGTTATCAAGAATTGTGACGAGAAAGATGGCGGAAAAAGAGAAAATCGAAGCCATGATGGCAGAGATGAAAAAACTTGAAGCGGAAGTCTCAAGGCAAAACGCGAGTAAAGCCGAAGAGAGAGCTGATTACGACTGACGACTGATGGAATCCAGAAATGAAACAGCAAACTTACAGTTTGCGATGGAAGAGGGCAGAATCAATCAAACTTTTGAAAATCCACAGACAGCAGGAACATCTCAACACGGTGCGCAGGACGCTTTGGCGCAAGCAATGTTTCAAATCAATTATACCTTAAAGAGTTTCCAAACTTTAATGGAAAAACAACAAATAGCTCCTGGGCAGGGTGGAAACATTCAACAAATTTTGTCTGATCAAAGAAGCGTAATTTCTGACTTTAAAGGAAGTCAAGAGCCCGAAAAGGCCAGAACTTGGATCGAAGAATTCGAAAGTGCCAAAGTAATTCATGAGTGGAGTGATACTGTAGCTTTGAGCATTGGAAAATCGAGGATGAGAGATTCTGCATTAAAATGGTTGCTGAGAAAGTCTTCAATAATTAAAGATGTTACTTCGTTTGTGCAAGCATTCAGAGCTACTTTTCTACTTACACAAAATAGATCTGAAATGCTAAAATCAATGATGTCAAGAGTTCAAGGTCATCGAGAGTCAGTTCAGGATTATTTTCACGATAAAGTTTGGCTTTGTTCAAAACTAAAGCTAACTGTGAACGAGATACAGGATGAGATAGCAGCAGGTTTATGGCAAAAGGAAGCTGCCAACCACCTTCTAGTGCAAACGTTCGAGTCAACTGATGAAATTCTGCAAGAATTGCTACGTTTCGAGAGTGTGGATAGTCGACGTAGATAACGAATCGCCGTACGAAAAGAAGGAGAAACGTCGTTGAAATCAGTTCCTGAATCCGGATCATCAGCTGAGTCGAAGGAGTCATCGCGGGATGATGGAAAACGAAATTGGTCAGTTTCACCGCAGGGGGTAAGAAAATGTCATCGTTGTGGTTCTACCAAACATTTTATAAAAGATTGTACAAATCCAAAGCGAGAAATGATATGTTATAAATGTAATGCTCCGGGTCATATGGCAACAAGATGTCCATTTTTGCGAGAAAATAAAACAGAGGGGTCATCAGGCGAACTAAAATTGGTAAATAAGGCGGGAAATGATCAATCTTTTTCCAAGTTTGTTCGTGAAGTAAAAATCAATAATATAAATTTGACAGCGCAAATTGATATGGGTGCTTAGGTGTACACGATAAGGGCATCAACTGTTTTAAATCAAAATTTAAAAATGACTCCCTTAAAATCTAAATTAGGGGGGTTCGGGTCAAGTGAAGTTTGGTCGCCTGGGGTTGTGCGAGAAACATTAATTTTAGATAAATTACAACCTAAAGTAATCGAGTTTAGAATTGTCCCAGATACCGCTCAGGAATTCGAAGTCATTTTAGGAAGGCCCTTTACCGAAGCTTTAGATGTGAAATACGAACGTATTGGAGGCGATTTGATATTTTCCAATGTAGATTTATCGATTTTAGGAAAAGAAAGTGTCGAGTTACCAATTTTTAGAAACGAAGAAAAACAATTACAACCGGGAGTAATAAATTTCATAAATGTAAAGTCCTGTGTGGGGGATATTCATTTGCCTATTGCGAATATAGGAGATAAGGAAATAACGTTAGTAAATGGAGAAAAGTTGGGAGATGTGATTCTTACGATAGAGGGGACTCCTGTGAGAGTGGGGAGAGATAAGGAAATCGTAGCGAGTGAAGTAGTGACAGACGAGACAGTCACGATAGAACAGAAGTCAGAGTTATTGAAAATATTGAATGAATTCAAGGTGTGTGTTGCGGACACGGAGGAATAGTAAGGAGACAGATCTCTGCGCTTGAAAATGTCAGAAAAACATGTACGATAAGTGCCAGATTCACTGTATTGTACTCAACTGGCCAAAGTAGTTGAGCATGCGCATTGGACCTCAATTTTGACAGATGAAAAGTGTGGTATGCGATATTGGGATCTGACATTCGTACACATGCCATCTGGTGTTGAAAAATGTAACTAGTTTTGGATAACTGTTTGTGTCACTTGCAATTGTAGTTCCGCTATCATTGTTAATTATTTTATCATTATGAATGAAGCTACATTTTTACCGCGTGAGAAATCTTCCTGCAGAATTAAGTGTTCTGTGAGAGGCTGTGGCAGTACTGTAGCGAAAAATTTAAGCGTAATTTTTCATAAATTTCCGAAACCAAAACAACGAGTAGTGGATGTGAAAAATACGTTCGATAATTTTGAAAAAGTCGATCAATTAAAGGCCTGGAAAAATGCTTTAAAAATAAACAGTATAAAGCCTTCTATGAGAGTATGTTCTCTGCATTTCAAAAGAAGTGATTACATTTTGCCATGTAAGTTTAAGATTTTAAAATTTGGAGGTTATATAATCTTTCATATTACCCGTGCATGTGAACATTTTGAAAGTTAATTTATCACTGTAAAAACGGATAAATAAATTTTTTTTCACTTCTTGTTAACAGACTTTTACAATGAAAAATGAAATACATACATTTATAAATTTTCATATAATTACATGAAATATAAAGGAAAATACAATACTTTTCTTGC